GTAAATTTGATACGAGCTCCACAAAAATCCTCTTCTATGACTCGGCACACGCTTCGAAGCCTCGACACAGGACACTAATTTTTAGCTACGATCAGACAAAAGTTTAGCTCAGTGTTTCTTAGACCAGTTGAGTTAGAGACATTTAAAATGAGCTGTAGCAGCTATCTTGAATTTTCAAATCCAGCATAGGTTTTTATTTTTATTTTTGTATGTGCCCCTCTATAGAACAGTGGTTCCCAAAGTTGGGGTCGGTACCCACAGCGGGGTCCCGAAACATCAAGGTGGGGGTCTTGAAAATATTTTCTGAATGAATTAAACTAAAAAATGACAACTAAGACCATTTTTGGCTTTTGTTGTTACAAAATAATAAGATTAGTGTACTTAAAATGGACAAAAATAGCATTATAAATAATGTTACTATGCTATCAGTGAATGCAGCCTACGCTCACAGGATCAACATCTCCTAATGGTTCCCCACACACDTCTCAAAACCCGTGGTGACCGAGCCTTCTCCTCCATGGCCCCCAGGCTCTGGAATGAACTTCCTATCCATCTGCGCACGCTTGAAAGCATTGATTCATTCAAGAAATATCTGAAAACACACCTCTTTAAACAAGCTTTTAACTAATTTCAGCATTTTTCTGCAGCCTGACCCTTTAGTGTCTGTTTCACCAAACCCTACCCACTGACCGTACAATTCATCATATTAATATATGTCAAACAGACAGTATTTTCATCCAAAATCATTTCAATTTATCAAAAATGTATTTTTCTAAAATGTACCTACCTGTACTCCACAATATACCCATTCAGAGACCTGCCTCTAAATTAATTTCTGATTTAAAAATCCTTCATCTTAATATGTTGTTGTTTTATTCTGCCCTCCCTATTTTTGTCTAGATATTATTTACTTGTTTTATTTTTTGGATTGCACATTCTTGATACTTTGATGGCTGTACAGTTTTTATACTTTTTTGTTCCAAATTTTTGTATATCCCGTTCTGATTGTATATATTTTGATTTCCCTCTGATTGTACAGCACCTTGTGAATCTATTTTTATGAAAGGTGCTATATAAATAAAACTTTACTTTACTTACTTTACTTTTGTTTGATGTGAAAACAATGTTCATCAACCAACAAAAGCTGGAGGTTCAGGTCTCTGCTGCTGGTATTTTGTGGGTCAAAAGCTGAAAAGTTTGGCAACCACTGCTCTAGAAAAGAGATTCTTAGACTGTGGACCGCGGCCCAATTGTGGGCCGTGAGCGCAACCTTGAGGGCCTCAAAAGAACAACAGTTTTTAACTTTGGGCCGCAGAGGGCCGTGGGACCGCATTGATTTTGAATAAGGTGCAATACACTTTCTCACCACTAGTAGCAGTAGTGCACCACTCAGATGTTTAACAACTTTTTAATATGTAGAAGAAGAACCTTAGAAACCTGCCGAGAACAGAAAACTATGGCTGTGTCCAAAACGGCAGGACGGGTCCTCCGAAGGTCGAATTTGTCGGCTGCATACGTCACAGC